GTACCATGTGGGTGGCTCCCTGGCCGGGGCTCGAACTTGCATTGCAGTGGCTGTGGACAGCTTCATAGTGCTGTGTCTTCACCCCTGTGCCACCAGGGAGGCCCAGAGATAAGAATATTTAAACACCAGACTTTGTTATAAAAGGACACACTACCCAGGGCCTTTCTGAAATGTGTAATGTGTGTACACATGCCTATCTGAGAATGCAGGCAGCCCCAAAACACCTCAGCTTGGCCTCTGATGGCCTTCTCAGACCTACTCCTTCTAGAACTATACTGTCCGACAAGAGAGCTATTAGTCAAGTGTGGCTGACTTTAAATTTTAATTAAAGAAAATTAAAATTCAGTTCCTCAGTTCACACTATCATATGTCACGTGTTCAACAGCCACTTGGCTAACTGCCATCACACTGAATGGTACCTATTTTAGAACAGTCCCAACATGGCAGAGACTTGTGTCAGACAATGCTGTTCTAGAATCTAAAAGGAAGAGGCCCTCTTCCTTTATAGTATGAAATCCTGGCTCACTGTAACTGAAGAATTTCATTACAAGTATCTGGGGGAGACCAAGGAATCCCCTAACAGGGAAGCCTTTCCACATCCTCTGGAAAAGGCGGGTTAGTAGGAAGATACCCTCTCCTGGGCAAGCAGAGCCAGGATGAGTACTAGATCCTCTGCCCACTGGTAACCTTGGCCTCATGCAAGACCAAAGCTTTGTCCTGGTTTCTGTGAAATTCAACACTTTGGCAGAGAGAAGCAGAACCTAGTTCAGAATTCAAGTTCTGGTTTCAACACTCTCAGGGGCCTGGTCTCAGAGGACCAGACTCAGACAGGCCTTCCCAGTTTGCCTTGGCAGGAGGAAGGGGATTCTCAGCACCAGGGCTCATCCACAGTGGCCGCTCCTGGGTGCATGTGGTGACCCTGGCACAGCCTCTTAGGCTTCTCCGTAGCAGTGGAAGGAATTGGGGAAACAGGGCAGCTGCGACAGGGAGCCATGTGGGGGTGGGGTATGTTTATTAAAAAAAAAGTCTCAAGAAACCCAATGGGTCAGGGTAAGGAAATAAGCTGAAAAAGGGTTCTAACCACCACACAATGACTGGGTCTTCGGGCCTGTCTATACATTTGAACTAATCAGAGAAATAAGCCAAGCCAGGTCCCACCCACAGCGCACATGGCACATGATGACAGGAATGCGGCCCCTCCTGCCTACCAACCAGCCTCCTCGAGGATGCCCCCATGTGAGTGGAAGGGACATCACCATTCTCCCCCAAAGTGGCCTTAACTTGGCCCTGAAAATCAAACAAAATGAGCTGTAAATCAGCATTTTCCTCCAAGAATCAGAAGGCTGGAGACTAGGGGGTTGGTTAGCAGACAAGTCAAGTGTGGGGACAACAAGGAGGGAAGACCCCAAGGAGAGGGTTCAAGAACTGTGTCTGCCCCTGACACATGGACCCTCAAGCAAGTGCCTTTTCCTTCTCATCTTTAAAAATAAAGTAAAATACATAGGGTCTCCCCCGGTGGTGCAGTGGTTGAGCGCTGGGCTGCGAGGCTGCCCGCAGCCTCTGTAGTGCCGGTTCCATGCCCGGCGAGGGTCCCACATGGCACGCAGACCTCTCCTGCCGCCTGCTGCTCCCCTCAGCAGTGTATTTTGCTTCATCTGCCTGTTCTGTTCCCCGCTCTGGCTCTGGTGAAGTCTCTCACCCTCCCGCACTTCTGACTGTACCCAGTGCTTGTATAAATAAATCTTTTAAAAAAAAAGATGTAGGTCCTTAAAAAATAAATAAATAAAATAAAGTAAAATATATAGCGAAAACTACACAAAACAATTAGAAGCTTAATAAATCAACATAAGGGAAACACCTTGTAACCGCTCATGCCAAGAAAGCCGAGCAGCCACCCAGAACCGCCTGCAGGCCTTGGGCTGACGTCTGCAGGAACCACTTGGTTGCCTTTCTTTATGACTCAAATGTGCAACCCTGGACACTTGCTTTATTCCTGCCCAATGTTTGTCCTTTAAGTCTATTTTGATCCACAGGGAATCCCTTTCCCCCGCCCCACCCACCCTACAATTTATGAATTACAGAGCCCAGGCTGTAAGGTAGTCAGCTTCCTTGCTGACTGAAGTTCATGACTTAACTCTCCTTTTCTCTGTTAACCTCAGTTACTTCTTCCTTACCAGCACCATCCTGCTCAACTAACGGAACTCCTGTGATGATAAAAAGATAGTCTAAAAACACAGGGAAAGACATATATTTTGTTAAGCAAAGACTACAGGATGCAAACGACACACACAGTATGCTTTCAATTACACACAGGAAAAAATGCATGGGAAAGGGCCGGAGGGAAATACACCAACATGGCCACCAGCGCCCCGCACAGTGGAGATCTGTTTTCACACACCCGCCTTTTATGCTTTCTTATGTTTTCCCATAACTAGCATATAATAATCAACTCCTTTATAAAAGAAAAGAGAAAGAGTGCTTGAAAGTGTGGCATAGATCAAATGTGTCACCGGGCTTGTCTGCTCACCCTTCACAGGACCACTTGACATGGTCACCAATTCTGCCGAAAACCTCAGCACCCCAAGCCTGCTTCCCTGGATGTCTCCTAACTGCTCTTCCATCTTCCCTCCTATCTTTTCTCTGCACTTCCAGCTGCCAACAGAAGAACTAAGTCACCTCCAAGCCCCTCAGCCTCTCATGTAAGACCAGACCCCTTCCTTCCTCGGCAGCTGGGGTACCTCAGGGCTTATGAAACACGCAATGCTGGGCTACACTCCCAGAACTCCTGGTTCCCTGGGTCTGGGATGGGGCCCAAGACTGCGCATACCTGGGAAGTTCTCCACTGACCCAGAGACCACTCTTGGGGAACGCTGATTTGCACCTCTCCTCCATCCACCCCCAACAAGCCCTCTCACCCTTCAAGAGCTAACTCAGGTTCCCCTTTTCCATGAGGCAGTCTCTGGAAACTTCAGCCAGTATTGATCTCTCTGGCTCTCTGCTCTGCCACTTAGCACTTAAGAGGCCTGGTGGTCTGGGAGAGGTGAGGGAACTCTTAGGGGTTAGAGTGCTGGGCAGTTATATCAACAGTGAGGGCAGAGACCGGGACAGACACTTCTGCAGGGACCCTCACAGCCCAGGAGGTCCTCTTCATGTCCTAAATGAAGCGAATCTGTGCTATTCACAGACACCACAGGCTCATGCACAGAGTTCTAATTATCCACTCCTCCATCCACTATTGGTCAAAAAATGCTTAGTGAGCACCTACTGTATGTCAAGATGTATGAGGTAAGAGTGTCTTTTCTACATGGAAACAGAATTACAGTAGGATGAGTTACAACAGAAACCTGCAGAGAGGTTTCTGGAAGGAATCCTCCCAACTGTAGCAGATGTCGCCTGCTCTCTGGCCCCAGAGACCGCTAAACACACACCCAACTGCAGTCTGAGGTGCAGGTGTCCCGGCTGCCAGAGCATACACAGCTGCGGCCACACCTCAGGTCACCATGGTAAAGGCTTGGCTGCCAGTCTCCAGCTCTGTTGTTCCCCAGCTAAGACACCCTGTACTCAGGACAGGATTTATGGGTAGATGTTGTTAAGAGAACAGATGTCCAGACAAACAGGCAGAGCAACTGGGAACAATGAGTGTGATTGTACAGGCCCAGAACCCACCAGAGGGCAGCATGAAGACACTGCCTCCTAATGAAGACTGTAAATGTCAGAGGAGCAGACCCTGCCCCGTTTCTTCAAACACCTGGGACTCAGGACACACAAGCTCTCTGTCCACAAGGCATACTGAGCAGGCTGTGGAGACCACAGATTCCGTAAAGCAGATGTTGGCTTCTGTGACCTCAGAAACTTTTACTTCTTTGTGCCCTGGTTTCACTATCTAATAATATCTTTTCCTTAAATAACAAAGCCAAAATAAAAAAATAAGATGATAGAGATCCCCATTAGAAGAATAAAATGAGATTTAAAAAAATAGGTAGGGCCTGCTTTGTGGCACAGGGGCCACAAAGTGCTATCACGCTGTCACCGCTACTGCCTGAGGAGCTACCCACATGGTGCAGCAGACCTCTTCTGTCTCGCCCGCTGCTCCCCTCAGCAGTGTACTTCAGTAGATCTGCCTGTTCTGCTCCCCACTCTGTCTCTGGTGAATCCTCTTACCCCTGCACCTCTAGCTTACACCCCAGTTCTTCTACGCAAAAATAATTAAAATTTAAAAAACAAGTAAAAGAAAAAAAACTACAAGGAGACTGGACAGGAAGAGCCATCACTGCCTCAGCAGGGAACCCTAAATGTATCTAGATATCCTAGGAGCAGTGATTCTCAGCCAGGTGCAGTGGAATTTGAGGAGCATTAGAAACACAAAGCTATTCAATCAGAATCTCCTGAGGTAAACACAAGCCCCATTCTCCAAGTCCCAAATAAGTCAAAGAGGCTTGGGGTACTCTGGGTTGCTCCCAGTTAAGAGACTACCCCAGAGCAGGTTAGGTAATTACCATCTAAGATGGGAGAAAGGTCAGGAACAGTGGCTGCAGGAGCTGGAAAGTATCAAGGCAGCCCAGAGACCAGCTGGAGAGAATATATTCAACACTGAGGTCCCCCACTCAATGTACCTCCCATTCCAGGGATCTGGTTCTGGAGGAGGTTTCAACCTCCCAGGGTAGGTCAACCAGTCCTCCAGTGACCTGTTGTTCCAGCCCAAGTATGGCTGAATCCCAGGTTATTCCTTCTTCTGGCCGGCATTGGCCACCGCCCTGCCCACACCCTAACACCTCAGCTGCAGAAGTCGCACCCTGACAAACTGAGTCTCTTTATTTTCAAATTCAGGCTTTAGGCCTTCTCCTTCAGGAAGTCTTCCAGATGCACTCCTGGTCACCCCCCATGTGACCTTAGCCTTTAAGATTCTTGTTGCTCCTGCATCATCAACATGTCAGCACTTAGTCACATGATATCATAATTGCCCACGTGCCAGTTGGTGGTCCCAACAGACAGTGCCCACCTGGACAGTAGGGCTTCTTTTGATCTCATTCAGTTCTCTGTGCCCAAACACCAAGCTCAGTGCCCAAGCATAGAGCAGACAAAATATATGCATATTTATGATGATCAGAAGAAAGGGAGGGGAGGAAATTTTAAACCAAACAGCTACACTAGGCAAATTTTTCAAAGCCTTAGGGAAATTATAGCAAACACTTTTTTTTTTTTTTGCACTTCCTATGTGTCACAGAGAAGATTGAGACACAGGGAGGTAAGTGCGCCCACGGCAGCAAAGCTGGGCGAGAACCCAGGCAGTTTGGCTCCACAATCCTTGTTCTCAACCACTCTGCTATGGTATCTTTGGCTCAAAGGGAAATAGATTTTTTTTTTTAAATCTTGAATTTAAAAAAGCCAACTACTTCTGAAGCCCTTACTCCCTGGGGTTTCAGGGTCACAGTAACTCTATACTTCACTCTTTGGACAAAGCACAGGTCCAGGCGGCTGTCTGCAGGAGCAGGAACAATTTGTCTCTGCTAAAGGCTTCTTTTGATAAGGCGGGAGAGCCCAGGAGTCAGCAGGCCCAACTGGAGCTCCCGGGGTCAACTGAGAAATAGGGAGAGGAAATCATGCCCTCCATGCTCTTGGTGTGAAAAGATGTTTCTCCCCCATACCCAAGTCTCCTGGCCTGCTGGTTGCGGAGCAGCAGAGGGGGATGGCCTGCACCTGCCCCAAGTGGCCTACACCTGCCCCAGGGGCAGGACAGTGAGATGGATGCCCCACAAGTCTAGGGGCTCTACACAGGAGAGGTGGAGAAGAAAACTGGGAATCCTGAGTGACATAAAAGTAAGTGGGGAAGTAAAATGTATTCAGAGTCAACAAGAGCAATTGAAAATGAACCATATGCCAGGCACTTGGCAAGATGAAGCCCCACAGTCTTTATTTAATTTTCACACCAACCCAAAGAGGCAGCTACTTATTCTCCTTGTTTTACCAACAGGAAACTTTGGCATTGTTCTGCTGGAAGGAGAGAAAGTAAGGAGGCAACCCTGAAAATGGGGTGTGTTTAGCCACGGCTGAGAAGAGATTTAAGGGTCTTTGAATTAAGTGTTAAGGATACTTATTCTTTGTTCTCTATCTTTCTTAAAGGCAGAACAAAATAAAAAGGGATTTAGGTTAGATTCCAGAAGAAACTTCCTGACCGTAAAACACCTTAGAGTTCACTACCCAGTATAGATCCCTGCGAACTGCAGCTCCCTTCAGTGCCCATTCTGTAAGAGGGCTACTGGAATGACTTGAACTTTCTAACCATGAAAGCATCACCTAACTGGTTCAGAGGTCTCCTCAAGCAGGTTGGCTCCAGCTCTAGACTGAAGGAGGTTTTTGGGTACTGCAAATCTGAGGTTAAACAAAGAGATGGGTGGAGAGTTCAGAGAGTAAAGTGAAGTTTGGAGCAGGGTGAGTCAGTCAATGAGGTTAGCTTGATTGTTAGAGTCAGCCTGAGGTGTTGCTAAAGCCTGTTTCCCCTGCTGGATAACATCATTCCTTGAAACAGCAGTGATAGCAGGGCTATGGAAAGCGTGGCAGCCAAACAGCCCTGGTAGAAAACTGTTGCTTCACTACAGGAAGCCAGGTCCCGTGTGGGCCACCTTGTCCACTGTCACTTCAATGCTGGGAGGACCGTGAGGACACTGCAGAGCTACCCTGGGCTGCTCCAGCCAGCATCTGTTCTCTGGCCTGGAACAGAAGGTTCCCGTAAAGGTTGTTATTAGACATGAACGCAGGGCACCCTGAGCTGGAGGAAGAGTTGAGGGTGGGGGGAGTCTGTATCATAAGGTGAATGTCTCATTTCAACCCAGGCAATTCACTGGTTTGAATTAAATGCAGGATTTACAGTTCACCTACAACTATCATGTGACAATAACTTTGTAGCTTTACCCAGATGCGGGGGTTCTTTAAGGTAAAGGAGTCACATTACCAAAGAGGTCCAAACTTCACCCTCTCAGGAGAAACCAAGGCTGGGAAAGGTTAAAGGTCACACCCAGGTGGTGCTGCCTAAGAAAGGGAGCTGGTGCCAGCTCTACCACGCGGCCTCCGCTCAGGGGCCAGCAGCTGCCTCTGAGAACAGTGCCTATACACCACCGCACACTCCCTTCTATCAGTGGTCTCAGGATGCATGACCACACAAGCCAGGCCAGGCCAGGGACCTCCCCCAGGGCCCCAGGCAGGGGGCTGAAGGACTGACTGTAGCTGCCCTGCCCTGGGTGCCCCAGGCCACCACAGAGCCTCCTGTCACCTCCTGGGCTGCCCCACCTCCCCTTTTGATCCCCAACAGGGGAGGGGTGGGCAGGGCTGAGAGGAAAGAAAAATCCCCACACAGCATCGATTTGCCCAAAGCAAAGGCAACACAAAGGCTGCACCTGTTTCCATGGAGATGCGATTGGGGAAGCAAAGGAACAAAACAGAGCAAGAAACACAAACCGGTCACCACCTTCCGGGCCAGTGTGATCGATGTTGGCTGGCCAGAGCCAGGCAGAAAGACAGCGGAAGGATTAAAGGTAATCAGAAGATCTAGAAGCCACACTGGCCGCCCTGGGTTGGTTGAGAGGAGGCCAGACATCTCCCCACCCCAGGTCTACAAACTAGCCTGCCCCCACTCTTGAGAAAGATCCTGAACAAAAAAAAAAAATCCCAAACAGAAATCCACAGTGACCGATTATTCACTTTACAAAAGGATTCTTTGCCTGACAAAGGGATTCCTTGAAACAACGAACTCCCCTGGTGGCTTGAAGCATTTGTTTTGTTTCCTTATTTACTTCTCTGAGGGAGTAACTTCAGCTGAAAGTTTGTAAGAAAAGAGGACAAAATTCCTAAGGGGAAGGAATGGAGGGGAGGGAAGGAGACTCTGTTTAGAAAACAACTGTTGAGAGAGGCCCACAAGCAATTGCAAAGGGGGCTGCTTTAAAACAGAAAGGTAAGCTAGAGCCGCCACCCCCACACCCCGGTCACCGCTAAGGACACTGGAACCTAAATTACAGCCAGGAGGTTGGGCAGCAACTGGTCCTGACAGGGTGGCTACCAAAAACACAGGCAATTCACAGAGCCAGTGGGCCGAAGGCAGGCTTCACCCCTGGGGCATTAGGTCCAGAGGCTGTAACTCCCCCCAGGGTGGAGAGTGGAGGAAGTTGCCAGCTGAGGCTCAGCAGATGGGGGGCTGAAGAGCAGTAAGGAGAGCCTCTGGCTGGCTCTCCCGGTTCATCAGGTGACACGTATTAAGAGCCTCTTGGAGCATGTCGCCACCCTGGGAAGGGACAATGCCAGGCACCGGCACAGCCCTGTCCATGGAGTCTTAGCCAAGCCTTCCTTCCACTCAGCCTTTTTCTGAGTATAATTCCCACAGGGAACAAAATAACAAGCGTAACAAGAACAATATTTACGGAGCTTGCTGTGTGGGCCACACGCTAAGTAGCCATTGTCTCATTTACCCTCTCAACACACACCCCCCACTCCCCGCCCATGAGGAAAACACTATTCCTACCCCCATTTCACCATGTTGAGACAGGCACAGAGAGATAAGTAGCTTGTCCAAGGTCACACAGCTAGTAAATGGCAAAGCCCGGATTTAAAACACAGGCCTACACAAGCTCAAAGTCTGTGAAGGTGAGGGAGGCTAAACGCCGGCCACCTCAGCCCGCTTAACAGAGGTGCTGTGGACGAGAGGATGCAGGCAACTGGCCTGGAGGCAGAGATAGGCTCTGAAGATCAGTTCTTTCCATCAGTTCTTTCTGGCTTTTCTGCTTTGTCTTGCCTCCGCAGGGAAAGCTAGCCAGCTCTCTTGGTGGGGTACATGGACAGTTTTGGGCCTGTTTGTTTACCTCTTTGCAACAAGGAGTCTTCATTGTAGTGCCACCTCACTCGGAGAGGAACTGGGAAAAACATGGGGTACTGGTCCCAAGTGTCATCAAGGAGCCTGTGTGAAGAACAGGCTCCTCCCAGCTCAGTCTCAGATTCCTGAAAATGCACAAGCTCTGGGGTGACCCACGACATGTTCAGAGAGCCCTTCCTACCTAGGTACATTTGGGGAACCCAGGGACTTCCTGAGGGTGTTCACATATGGCTGGCTTTGAAGGAATCCACTTCCAAAAGCTCCATAATTGCTCTGGCTGAGTTTGCCCATCCAGGGCTTTGAAAACACGCATTTGAAGCAACTGTATGACATAGAATGAGCATGGATATACACACTACTTAAAGTTACCATAATAAATTCTATGGTTACTCCAGCTCCCACACCACAGAGGGCCATGCACATAGTATGTTTGCAAGAGAAACAGCTGCACTGTCTACGACAAGCCCTATACCTAGGACCTGGGTGTCAGTTTGTCTTTGCTACTTCTTAGCTGTGTGGATCTAGTTAAGTCACCTACATGCCCTGAGCCTCAGTTTCCCCATAGGTAAATGGGAATAATACTATAAAGGGTATATTAAAAACCCTAATGATAAAAGATTAAATGAACAGTGGGGAAGTACATCAGCATAAACAGTCCTAAATAATAACCAACAGCAAGCATTTTCTGTTTGGCTTAGACAACTTTATGGTATGTGTTTCCAGGTAACAATAGCAACCAATATTTATTAAGCATTTGCTCACTATGTGCTAGGCACTGAACTAAATGCTTCACAGGGGCCTCCCCGGTGGCGCAGCGGTTGAGCGCTGGGTTGCGAAGCTGCCCGCAGCCTCTGCAGGGCAGGTTTGATCCCCGGCTGCTCCCCGGCCACCAGAGGAGGGTCCCACATGGTACGCAGACCTCTCCTGCCGCCCGCTGCTCCCCTCAGCAGTGTACTTCAGTCCTTCTGCCTGCTCTACAACCCGCTCTGGCTCTGGTGAATTCTCTCACCCTCCCGCGCTTCTGACTGTACCCAGTGCTTATATGTATAAATAAATAAATAAATCTTTAAAAAAAAAAAAAAAGATTTATTAAAAAAAAATAAAATAAAATAAATGCTTCACAGGCCCACTCCATTTTGTTTTTCCCCACAATTCTATGGACAAGGTGTCCTTCTTACCCCCAATTTGCAGGTACAGAAAGCTTATATGCGTGCCCCATTCACTCAGCTTGCAGTTAAGGCTGTGGGTCCATTTGATCCAGAGACTGTGCTCTATACAGGCCCACTCAAAAGTGTGGCCTGCAACCGGCAGCATCTGCACCAACTGGGACTTTATTAGAGATGCAGGATGGTCCCAGGCCCTACTCTGAAGTTACTGAATCAGAATCTGCATTTTAGCAAATCTGCGGGTGACTCATATGCACATCCAAGTTGGAGATTCACTGCTCTAAACCATGAGTCCAGCTGATTTACCATTCTGGTTTTATCTTGCTGAAGGTAATATTAGAATGTTTGCTTTCTCTATGCATACACACAGCTGGCAATTAAAGCAGGCAAGATGGTTGGGGATCATAATAATCCGTCAGTAACACATGCAAAATGTATTTTTAAAGAAGGGCTAGGAGGATCCAGCCCTTCTGAGCAGTGGTAACGGGAGCGGGGGGAGGTTGGTCAAAGGGGGCTTTCTCTTTGTTATTTGAAAATATTAATAAAAATAATGTGTAGAGGCTGTATGATTAAAAAGGAAAGCATGTTTTAAAACTGGAAAGCATGTTTTAAAACTGGAAAGCATGTTTAAAACTGATTGCATTATATGAGCTCATGAATCCAAGGCTATTAACAGTTGCCCCCTCCAGACCCTGGAAGGCAAAGGCAGGGAGAAAACCAGCAACTGGTGGAACAAAAGGGTTGCTGTTCCTGGAGCCAGAAGACCAGATTCTAGTCCAGGCTCTGCCCCTAATTTGATGGCACCTCAACATTCTCACTCAGCACCTAGGCCTGTTTCAGCTTAAGCTTCCTGTCTCCGATTTCCTATAAAAGGGGGGTAACCCCACAGACCCATCTAGCCCCATGGCACTGCTGCAGGGATCAGCAGTGAAATGCATAAAAGGTCTCCCTGAACTGTAAGGTGCTGTAGAACTCAAGGGCAGAGTGTTTTCTTGAAAAGAAAAGCGATGAAAAAAGCAGTGAAACATTCATGCTCGCTCATTCCATTCCCTCAACACAGATATTCCATGACTTTATAAGGAAGATACACAGAGTAACCTGGATTAGATTCCGTGGGAGCCTCAGGCTGATTTTCAAATCCTTATTCGAACTTAGAAGTTAGGCTTGGATGTGGTTCAAACCATGAACAGAAAGGGCTATTTCTCAACGTCTGGCCCATTTGCTTTGCACTTCTCGCCTGCTTTCTCTGCAGGCTCGAAACTCCTGGGGAGGTTCTGTTTTAGGGTTCTGTGTATTTCCTGTTTGGGCGCAGGGGCGGTACTCCACTTTGCTTTCTATGACTCCCTAGGGTGACCATGCACATCTGCCTCGCAGCTGCTCTCCGAGCAAAAGACTTGAGGTCTGCTGTCTGATCTGCTCCTGCCCAACACCTCAGTTTCCCAGCTTTAATGAAAACTCAAGATTTGCAGAACTGGAGAGAGCAGTAAGTGCTATCCCCTTGCATATCTGGGGAATGCGGAGTTTGGGAACAGAGGGATTAGGTGACTTGCTCACACCCCCACAGCTAGCTTAAAATGAATAGAACTGCACAGGGTTCTATGGCCCCAAAGTCCAGGCTTTCTCTGTGACCGTTGGAAATACCACCTTTCCCTAGGATTTCTCTATCATTTTTCACTTGCCTGTCACTGACCTTGCCTCTCTGCCCCTTCATTCTAGAAGACACACAAATTTGAGACTAAAAGCCACTGTGCTTCTCCTCAAACTGAACCATCCTAAAACCACAGTCTGAAAGTATCATTGAAACTGAGCCAGAAAATAATCCCCTGTCAGATTTTCCAAGGAGAACCAGCCCTGTCTAAACCATTATAAGCTTCAGTTACAGTAAAGTAATGGCAAAAGCGGCCTCCGGGCAGACAATCCCTGCCCCACCGCCTGCGCCTGCGTGGGTTTGAGCGCCTGGATTCACCTCTCTGAGCTCGGGTTTTCTCATATGTAAAACAGTAAGAGGACTATCATCTTTCAGATTTGGAATAAAGAGTCTCGAGAAGGGTAAAGGTCTTCAACCACAATGGGAGCTTAATAAACAGCAACTGTCACCATCAGGATCAAAGCCGACAGTACCACCCAGCCCAAAGACAGGGGCTGAATCCATTGTCCATTCCAGCTGCACATTAGAATCACCTAGGAAACTTTTTTCTTGTTCTAATACCTGAGCCCAGACTTTATCCTCAGTAATTCTGATTCATCAATCTGAAGTTGGTCCTAGGGAATCTGTACAATTTTTAATAGGTGATTCCAATTGCACCTGTGGTTGAGAGCCATGTGCTCCAGTTCTGCAACTCACTGCTTCTCAATCTTTCACATGCACACAAATCTCCTCAAGATCTTGTTAAAATGCAAGTTCTGACTCAGTGGGTTTGGTGCGAGGCCTAAGAGTCTGCATTTCCAACAAGCTCTCAAGTGATGCTGATGCTACTGGTTCATGACTTTCTGAGAAATAGCACCCAAAACTCAAGGTCTTGGGCCTTCCTGGTGGTGCAGGGGTTAAAAACAGCACTATCAAGCTATCGCCAGCCACTGCAGCATGATTTCGATCCCTGGCCGGCCAGGGAGCAACCCACATGGCACAGCAGACCTCTCCTGCCTCACCCGCTGCTCCCCTCAGCAGTGTATTTCAGTAGATTTGCCTGTTCTGCTCCCCACTCTCTCTGGTGAATCCTCTCATCCCCTGTACCTCTGGCTTACACCCAAGTTCTTGTACGCATAAATAAATCTTCTAAAAAACCCAAAAACTCAAGATCTTGAGCAGTTGTCTAGAATGCCTCTAAGAGTCTTCTCTGGACAACCTCAAAGGTCAGTTTTGTCCAGCCAGGCTAGAATTCACTGCCTTATGGAAGCAGAGCCAACTATATGATCTCACAGTGGGGCACAAGGACCCTGAACCAAAGCCTGTCCCCAGATGACTCTCTTTGGCTTCCTGTTGGCCTTTTGAGTTCTAGCAAGAGCTTGCAGACAAGTGTGGCCACAAAGACACACTAGCAAATAGTAGTGATGCCACACCCTGCATTCTCAAGACTGTCCAAGGAAAAAACCAGAAGGAAAGGGCCCTAGCTGCTTTCGCTCAAGTGAGCAGGGGGTGTATGAAAACATGACCCCACTTGGCAAAATGTGCCAGGCAGAAGGAGTGAAAACAATAGCAACTCTGGTCTGGTGAGCCAGACTCTCTGATCAGCCAAGCAGGAATGCTTCCTGCCTGGAGCTGGCGGCGTAAGCACACAGTAGAAGGGACTCCAGCGACACACATTGGGCGGGGGGGTGGGGGGGTGCAGGCAAGTCCCTTCTGGCTTTGAGCTTGGTGCATTTTGTGACCCTGAACAACATCAACATAACAACACTAACTGGCACCTACTGTGTGCCTAGGAACTTTACAGAAATACTCTTTGATCCTCACATCAACTTTGCAGGTTGGGCATGGTTGTCTCCATGTGTCTGGATAAACTGGGGCTCAGTGGATAAGTAATAATGCAACGTAGAGGCCGGAGCCAGGACGAGATGCAAAGCCTGTCCAATCCTTTCCCCTTCCTTAAGTGACTGCTCAAAGTTCCTAATCTCTTGATGCCTCAATTTACCCTTTCACTGGGGTGGGGAAGAAGGAAAAGGGGTATAAATCAGTAGGACTGAAAGTGGCTTAGGATCTCCAAAAATGAAAGATAATATTTATTGTTATAATTATTGTTAATTATTATCTTCATCAAAAGTGTAATTAAGAGGCACAGGGAGAAGAGGTTAATGCAGAACCTGATGTTTAGTGTGGCTAAGCAAGGCTCCAGCCCTAGGCCCAGGCCACTGTTGTCCCTTGCCCCTCTGGGGAAGGGTGAATAGTACCAAGGTGAATACCCAGGAGCTTTGGGGCAAGGCCCTGGCTGTGAGGTAGTGCAAGAGTCAAAAAGCCAAAAGCTTAAGGAAGAAGATTGAACTGGGTCGCCGCCATAGGCCCGAGGCTGGAGATGAGACTCCACCAATGCCCCAACCTGGAGGTCTCACCTAACCTGTGTCCCATCATCTCACCCCTGCAAAAGTCAGGAGAAGCTTCCTGAAACAGCCAAAGGCCACTCAAATGGGTGCCCCATTTTAAGGACTCTGGCACTTAGGGCTGATAGGCCATGCTGGGAGCCTCTGACCCATCAAGGCCCGGACCTACCCCATAGCCAGATCCCTCCTTCCCCAAACAAATGGCTCCTGATCTCATGCACCATTAAGTTCTGAGGCTTATAAATAAAGATTTTGTGAGGGATGTGGTGAACAATAGTGAATATACAAGTAAGCAACGGTGTGGCCACTGGACAAAATACTATATACAGCCATCTAAAATAGTGTTTTAAAATCACACATTTCATTAAGTGTTCTTATGCAGTGTTACATGAAAAAGCTAGATGCAAAAGTATATAATTAGGAGGATCACTACTTTCAAAAATTATGCACATAAAAAGATAAGCAAAGGAAAATAGGGGGCCTTCCTCGTGGTGCAAGGGGTTAAGCATAGTACTATGAAGCTATCCGCAGCCTCTGCAGCACAAGTTTGAGCCCAGGCCAGAGAGCTACCCACATGGCACAGCAGACCTCTCCTGTCTCGCCCACTGTGCCCCTCAGCAGTGTATTTTAGTCAATCTCCCTGTTCTGTTCCCCACTCTGTCTCTGGTGAACCCTCTTACCACCCCCCCATACCTCTAGCCTGTACCCCAGCTCTTGTATGCACATTATCAGAATGAATTTTTTGTGTGTCAGAAATTAAGCACTTTCCAGTTTTCCTCTAACAGGAGGAACACACTGTGACTGAAATCAGTGTGTCTGAGAATAAGGAGAAAGATCCCTCCGGGGCAGCCTACCAGCGATGAGATGAGGGAGCAGGCACAGCTGTAACTCTGCGGCTGCTGTGGCCACACTGGACAAGCCTGACAGTGGGTACCCTCCCCAAGGGGCTGAGATTCTCCAAGGAAGATAAGGAATAAAGCCCATTAGCCCTTAAAGTGCTCTAAAGGTTTTTGGTGAAAAATAGCTCAGTCGGTTGTGCTGCCCCAGGCAGAGACAGGAGATAGTGGTCCCTTCCCAGTCCAGTGTCCCTCGTGACTGAAGCTCCCTGCCTGTGCCCCCCACCCCAGTCCCAGCACAAGGCTAGGAAAGAAGCTTCACCATATGGAACTCAGGAGCCTCCTGGGAGTGCCTGAGTAAGGGAGAATGGCAGGTCCCTAAGCCATGTGCAAATGTGAAGAAAGGGGGTTTAAGGGGAAGGAACTGCACCAGCTGTCTCCAAAAGAACACTAATTACAGGGGCTGAGCCGCCTGAACAGGGCCTGGTACTGCGAGCAAAGATACCCTCAGGGACCTAGCAGTTACCCAGCCTCAGGGCTGGCCCAGAGGCGGCCAGCAGGCATTCATCTGAGGATGGCTACAGGCCTGCAGCTTTCCCCACTCCAGAGCAGGGAGGGGGCCAGGTCCAGAAAGCAGCCTCCACAGGTCCTGCTACCCAGGGGTCTGGATCACGAGGTCAGGGGCCTGTGCTGGGTGCCAGGGCCGGAGTGTGGAAAGGACTAGAGAATTTCCTTCTCTGGAGGCTTGGAAGACCTAACCATCCAGAATAGTTCAACACTGGAATGGGAAAAAAAAAAAAAAAATGACTTCTCATCCCTTGAAGCTAGAGAAAGGGAGAAAGTCAAGTGGAGAGTTTAGAAATAGAAGTTCTTAGGGGGCTCCACTCAAGACTCAGGAGTTCAAGTTCACCTTCACTCTGGTGCCCCTCCTGATGCCCTCCTGCTGCCATAATTGCCGCTGGGACCCTGGGGAGGACGGAAAGAGGCCCATACAGGAAGCCAAGGAGGCAGGAAGGGCCTGGGAATCAGACCTGTGTCTTGTCTTGTCCTGTGGCTTCCTAGCAGGCCAGCCCCTTCTCTCCTCTGAAACAGGTGTAAGTGGTACTCTCCTAGCTACCGCCTAAAAACATTTACACACCCATGGGAAACGTATGGGATGGTACTTCTAAACAAATGGAAGGTGTGGTTATGATTAAGGCAGGTCATTATAAAGTGGGGCCATTCTGTTTCCCTTCCCTCAACATGCAAATTAGAAGCAAAGACAGGTATGCATATTATTTATTTTTTCAAATCACTCACCCAGACACTTTAAACAGGGTTGGATGGGGCTGCCTCGGGAACATAGGAAACAGAGCTGAGAGGCTCCAGGCCACCTTGGGGCTCCAGAACCAGACGGGGAAGGAATAGCCCAGGATGGGAGAGGGAAAGAGAAAAGGAGTAAAAAAAAAAAATCAAAGAAACCAGGGAAGAAGTTAGAAGGTTAGAACCCAGATTCCACCCTCCTGGGAATGAGCCCAGCGTCCTGGGAAAGAGGCCGAGATGAAAGGGAGGCGCAGCTGGGGGAAAACAGGCCGTGAGAACAGAACAGCAATTGTTCTCCAGGCCAAGCGGGCACTGCACCCGGACCAGCCAGCGGCACTGCTGCTTTGTGCGTTAATGTAATTAAGGGCCCGGGGGGCCAATGTTTGGAATCCTTTAACTCCTCACCATTCTCACAGAGCAGCTGAGCCAGAGCGTGGGGCTGTAACCAGGGGGGTGTAACTGCGGCAGCCGTGCGTTCCTGGGCAGCCCTGCTAAAAGGGGCAGGCAGGGGGCAGGAGGGCCTGGATAGTAGGATGGAAGCCTGAGTCTGAGTTACTTCCTCCTGGGCACGGTCCCCAGGTGCTCCCTGAAGCACTGCCACTGCCCTGACCCCAGTGAACACTCCCACTAATTGCTGGGGCTGCAGAGAGCCTGAAAGCCTGAGGAGCAAAAGAGCCAGAGTTAATTAAGGAGAAGGGGAAAAAAAAGAAGTCTGCTTCTTCATTCTTCATTTCCCTCCTCCCTGCGCCCTCTGGGTTTGGCATCTAGTTTCAGGGAAGCTCCCGAGGCAGGGATCTCCATGCCTGGAGCCAAGACCAACAACAGCACATGGAAATTACTGAATAGGAGCAGCTGGATCTAGAGGGCTTCTA